GAGCTTTCGATTGTCGCTGCTGCATTTCGAGGTCCTCATCTTTCGGAGGAGTCCCGCCTGCCGATTCGCCTTTCACTTTCGGATCCAAAGGGCAGCGTCCATACCTGAAATGACCTGACCAGATCGAGCACTTTGCACACATACGCCCTACCTCCATGCTCGGTTTGTGTACACGTGGTCATTCTGACCGAACACCATGGGCTTGCGACAGAATTTACAGAAATATCGGCTCGTCTTGGGCAGCAAAGAAGCGGCATCGGGATTGTGATCTTTGCTCGCTGAGTTTGCACTGTCATCGCCATTCGGAGCTTTTCCATCGTCAATCCCCTCTTTGGTCATTCGCTCTAGCATGCGGTCTGCTGCAGTGACTTCGGCTGGACCTTCCGAGAGCACCTTCAGGCCCAACGGCACTGTTGCGCCGGCGACCGAGCCCGTCCATTTGGATGCAACCGAAGAAGAATGGTTTCCCAGAGTCTGCGCCAGCTCCACCATTGCCTGAGAGCGCTCCGTTGTATAGCTACCTGCAATGTTCGGGGCCTCAAGGATCTTAAGTTGCGCTCTCACCCACACATCAGCGAGTCCACGAGAGACGTTGAACAACGGTGGGACGGGCGTGTAAGGTTCACATTTGTTGAGTTCAAATACACGGTAAGCTTGATAAGCATCCAGACATTCAGCTACGAGCTTCGTTCCAGAATATGCAGAGGACTTATCGGAGAGAATGCGCCTCCAGTGTCCCTCCATCACTGGATTGAAATCAGGCGGGACACACGAGGATGCCCGGGTCAAACGACGCTTTTTGCCTACGTCACGGTACGTCCCAGCAGCAATATCTCGAAGAATCTCATCCTCAATGGCTGCACTGGAGCTGACTGATCTCGTGTGAGATTCCGCGAGGGTCGCCGGACTCTCAGGAAAGCCTTCCGGGATAACTACAACAAATAGATTCGAGCGCGAGATAAACGCTGTGTTACCTGGGCGTTTCAGAGCCACCGTCTTAGTCTCATTCGTTGTGTCGTTTGGCGATTCGGATGGAGCATCTTGCTGGACTTCCGGTTCAGTCCTGTAAATGTCGCACTCGAGCTGCTCAATATGACCGTCGATCTTCTCCAGCTCGCTCAGTTGGAGGTGATAGGTGGGAAAACCGGCTTGGGATTCGACTAGGTGCAGCTCGCTCGCCTGTACCTCAAGATCATGAGTGTCTGGCTCGTCGTGAGAACCAGGATCATTTTGCTCATCAACATCCACGTCAATATCTAGTATATCCAAAGCGTCATCAACTCCATCTAGATCCTGGTCTTCCAGTGCAGTTTCCGGGATGATGGGATCTTTGCCGGTCACCGCGATCTCGCGCGCCGCAGGCGCGCGAGATCGCGTCCACTGACCACTGACCACTCGTCCACCGACCACTGACCACAAGCAGCGCAGGGCGCTGCGCTACCTCCTGAGCTACCGAGGCGAATGCAGCATTTGACCTAGTAAAAATGGGCCTATAAACTCTTTCAAGGCAATTTCCAGTAAACCATAGACTAAAAACCACTTAATGATGTATGCGCACCTCGGGCGGAGCTCGAACCCGCGGCCACGGGCTTAAAAGGCACGCGCTCTGCCGACTGAGCTACCGAGCCGAATGCAGCATTTGTCCTAGTAAAAATGGACCTATAAACTCTTTCAAGGCAATTTCCAGTAAACCATAGACTAAAAACCACTTGATGATGTATCATACATCATGTATGCGCACCTCGGGCAGAGCTCGAACCCGCGGCCACGGGCTTAAAAGGCACGCGCTCTGCCGACTGAGCTACCGAGGCGAATGCAGCACTTAAACTAGTAAAAGATAGACCGTTACACTCTTCCAAGACAATTCCCAGTGAACCATAGACTGAAAACCGCTTGATGATATATGCGCACT